CGACGAGGGACTATTTGGGCTTGTGCCGAAGACTTGGTGTTGACGACATTCCCATCTTCCCCCCTCCTCTTCGTCTATCCCCTTCCTCCTCGTCTATGCATGTTCTGGGCTGGCGCTGTCTTCCTGTGTGAAGCGCCAGACCCATTCACACTATGAAACGATGATGATGATGTATGTTCAGGGCTGCATTACAACATTGATTGTTCGGATCACTGGTATCTAAGTCTTCCGCTGTGCTATCCTATACTTTGTATTGAAAGGTCGGTTCTTGTTCTGGTCTGCACCTGTACGGTATGCAACAGGGGCGGATGAGGTGATGGTGTTGGCAAAAAGTGCTTCAACATCCTTTTAACTTTTGAAATTCAAGGACGAGGTCGGGACTCAGGACAACTAAGGATGGTTTTGGTGGGGTCTGTAGCGTCACTTGGAATGCGTGGTCTGGAAGAAGTGAGGTTAGAAATTGTTCATGAGTTCCATATTTATTCTGAAATGCTTTCTGAAACATTTCTCAATGTAATCTTATAAGGGACCCTGGGCCTGGTTCCCAGCACGTGTTGCTCCCCATGAATAGATAGGAGCATTTGGGTTAAGAAAGGGGAGGGCAGGGGGGGGGGGAGGGCAGGGGGGGGTGGAGGAGGAAAACAAAAGGTGGACTGCTGCTCATTTTGACAGGCAAGGAAGGAAAAGAGACGGAAACACACACACACACACACACACACACACACACACACACACACACTGCCTCATACCTGTAGTCATAAATCTCTTGGGCAAACTGACTGAGGGAGTGATATGTCCTGGTCAAGTTGCTGCTGCTTCCCGTTACAGTTGTGGTGATGAAGAAGGTGGTATTTTCTGTACCAAGGTAATCTTCTAGAGCAGGCTTGATGACTGCAGCCACTGCAGCATAGCCACTTGGATACTCAGGCTCTATTGTAGTGCCTGCGATTGCTGTCCAGTCTGGTACTGGCGCATTCTGGGAGTCACCTTGCCTGCGCAACAAAAACCCAAAAAGGAAAAGACGAGTAAACATCCACCATTGTTGTCATATAATAAAACTGCAGCTTTCTTCTTTCAAAAAAAAACAAAAAGTTGAAAAAACAAAAAACAAAAAAAGAGTAAACATCCACAGGTAGCGGACATAAATGGCTACTGCATACAATAGAAAGATGCCTTGCTTAGGTACTCCTGCTGGGTAGACTCTCTGAATTGGGCCTGTAGCAGATTGCATGAGTCTGGCGTCCGAAGTTCCTGTACGGCATGGTTCGTCCGCCTCCGCTTCTATTAGGGCTGGGAGGTTGGCCCAACCCTGGTGCTTGTCACTGCTGTGTGGTCCAAGTTGCCCTTGATAGTGGTAGGGTGATGGCCCTGACTGCTGGTCATGCTGAGGTAGGATAGTAGGATAGTAGGGACAGGGGGTGCACTGGGAGTGTTGACGTGGGGATGGGTAGGGTAGGTGGCCTATCCTGTCAGGACAGCCATTAGCTGCCGCTGCCAGCAATCACCACGGGTCTGGTCCTTGGCCTCTACAACACCCTGGGCTTCAAAAAAAAAAAAAAAAAGAAAGACTGGCACAACTCAGAAGTGGGGCTGAGAAGGCAGATGACCCAATCATTGCCTACAGGACCCAATACAGGCCACCTAGTCTGCTTGCATGCCAGTGAGGAGGAGATTTACAGGGAAACGATCAACAGCCTTTTTTTTTTTTTTTTTTTTTTTTTTTAAACACCCCCTGCAGTGCTAGTGGTACTGATAAAAGCAGGTACCACTAGCACTCTGGGAGAGGCTCCATCTATTGGTGGGGAGCGTCACCTGCTGGAAAACGGGTCCAGCGTCCCACATACAGAATGAATCAAGAAGATACCAACAACAGCTTGCAAGTACAGAATTTAAAACTCCGCTGTCCAGATACTTTGGGGGGGGGTTGGTGTCCACATTCCTCTCTTTTTTTTTTTTTTTTTTTTTGAAAAGATTCATGTGTGGAAAAAGACAGTTAACGAGGTGATAGGCGCAGCCTCGTTAAGTGGGGCCCAGCGTTAAAGGCTCCATCTATTGGTGGGGAGCAGCACCTGCTGGAAATCGGGTCCAGTGTCCCTACACAATGATATGATGAGTGTCAACTGGAAATCGGGTCCAGCGTCCCTATTCAATTATGTGTGGAGATGACATAAGTGTGCATCCATTAGTATGTGAGCCAAATCCGTAATCCACCATATCTGTCACGTTACTCTAAATGGCAGGGGCATTGATTACTTCCCAGTGACAGGGAAGGATTGACCTCCTGCCATCGAAGCCTAACCCTAACGAAAAGCATTCTCATCAACAACCACAACAAGCAATCATCAAAACACTCCAAAAAACAGATCAGACACACGAAAACCCTAAACAACCTACCTCCCACCTGAGGGACAGTCAACACCCCTTGTTGATTGAAATCGAGGGCAGGATGACTCCAATCAACAGAGGGGACATCTACTATCCTACTCCCATCTGCTGCCAGACATCAAGGAGCAATTCAACATTGAAATAGAAGGTGGGCGGGACAATAAAACGTTTTTCCAGCTCTAATACCCTCCTTCCCATCCTCGTCAGATCCCCACTCCTCTCCCCCTGTGATGATGTTGTTGTTGTTGCGGCTGTTGTCTCTGTTGTCGTCGCCACCAGCGGTGCAGGCGCCGTTGACGTTGTCGTTGTTGTTGTTACTGTTGTTGTTGATATCTCAATCGTCGCTGTCGCCGTTGTCAAAAACGCAGCTGCCTGGACCGGTGTCTCCACCGTTGTTGAAAACAACGCCGTCGTGTAGTCTTCGTTGTTGTTGCTGTTGACGTCATCTTCGATGATGTTGCTGTTGTTGTTGTCCACGCCGCTGTTGCCATCGTCATTGCTGCCTGCCCCCGTGTCGCTATTGAGGATAATGCTGTTGTCGATGTTATTACAGACCTGCTTGTCACTGTTAATGATGCTGTTGTTGTTGATGTTGTCACTGACCTGCACTCCAGTCTTTGCCGTTGATATCGCCGATGTTGTTGTGTTGTAGTAGCTATTGGAGAGTGCTCGCTCTTCCATGAAGAGATCGTAGCATCTGCGTATGATCCCGCGCTCCCGCTCCCAATCGATGATGTCATTAAGCAGAGGATCCAGCCACTCCTCTATCGTCCAGATAATGTCCAGCATCTGCTGGGACATATCCTCCAGCCAATCAGCCATCGAAGCCCCGCCCCCTCGGACCTCAGATGGGTGGTTTGCTGGAGATGACATCAGCCGCACAATCTCTTGCAGCTGAAGCCTCCCATCCTCCAGATCAGACAACCATGCATCCGGTCCCTGTTGTTGATCTTCGTTTGACACCATCATACCTGCCATCTTTCCTACCACGTCGCGTTTGTTGCATATCGACCGTCACCCCGTTTCTTCACGCCAAACGTTCTCCTACTTTCCCATCAATAGATTCACATGGGGAATCTGCCACGCCAGCATTGCATGCGACATGCGGCGGGACCTGTAGCCTAGCCAAAAGCCACCTGGCATGGTGACGTGGCCAGTCGCTCGAAGGGCAGTCGAGCCTTGCCGGCTGCGATCGCTCAGAGCATTAGTCCTTGCTTGGTTCCAAGTTAAAGCACCAGTAGAAGGAGAGTAGAAGGTGTGAGTCTCTGGTTGGCTTGGTGGGTTCCAACTGGTGATGATGATAGGCGTCTCGATGACAAGTACCCCGCCTTAAATATACAGCTAGGTCTGTGGTGGGAGAGTAGAGGGTGTGAGTTACTGGTTGGTCAACTTAGGGGCTAATGGGTGATTGCTTGAGCCTGGCATTTGAAGTTCCCGTACGACGAGGCTCGTTCGACTACGCTTCCACCAGGGCTGGGTCGCTAGCCCTGGTGCCTGTCACTACTGTTCGGTCCAAGTTGCCCTCGATACTGTAGGGTGATGGTCCTGAGTGCTGGTCACAAAGCACCAGTGCATGGCTACCAGGGCCGCGGGCCTGACACCTCAAATTTCGGAAGTGCCAAACGAAAAAGCGACCGATGACCCAATTTATCAACGACAGGCCCAACGTTTGACGTTTCGGCCTCGTTTTGTCGTGGCGAAAAGTTTTGGACTGCAAGACCGGGGCCGTGTACTAGAGGTTTAAATCTGGCAAAATTTTTCTCAGCCGAAGCAAGGTAATTGCCCCGGTACCCTCGAGAGTATCATCAAATGCTTATTGTAATTTTATAAGGGACGCTGTGGCCGCTTTGCAACATGTGTTGCTCCCCACAAATATATCGGAGCATTTAAAACGAAAAAAAAAAAAGAGAAAAAAATTCAAATCTGGTAGGTTTAAAATGGGAATTCCTGCTATGTATTATATTTTATCTATATCTAATTTGTATATGATTCTCAATCTATTTAACTCTAGACAGATTTATAATTATAAAAGAGAGTAAATAGAATATATTGTTACGATCCTGGCCAATTTCGAAGTCCACAATCATCAGAAAGTACAATGTTGTCCAATTGCGCAAAGAAATGAATGAACTTGAGCCCAATGCCGTCCAATTGCAAAAGAAATGAAAGAACTTGATCGGAGAGAGAGGGAAAGAAGAAGAAGAAGAATCAAGAATGAAGAAAGGGATGATGTACTCCAGCATAGACCAAAGACAAAGCTCTTCTTCTTCGCTCAACAACCTCCTCTTCTGTATCTCCTCCTCTCTTATTCAAACAATAAATAAACAATAATAATGTTGAACAGCTGAACCAGAATCAATGTCCGAATCCCACTTCTACTGCAGGCACAAGATGAGGTCCACCATAGCCATGGCAACCCTTCTTCTTCCTCTACATACAGGTCGAGGCTATGGTGGACTACTGAGGCTTCAGCCTCCTGTCCAAGGGACCACTCAAAGCAGCTATGCCGCTGCTCCACTTCAAGGTCATCATCATGCAGCTATGCCGCTGCTCACTCAGCCACCATGCCTGACTCTGTCCCGAGCTTTCTTGATGCGGCACTACCCCCACTGGGCCCTTCCTGATGCAGCACCTAGCAAGGAGATGAAGATGATGTCTACCATAGCCAGTAAGTACCTCGCCACTCTCCTCCTTGGTCCCCTTCTCCCTCCTCCTTCTACCGGTAGAGCTCCACCATAGCCAAGGTGGAAGCTCCCGGCTTCTTCCTCCCAGCAGCGCTGTAGTGCCCAGCGCTACTCCATCCAGCGCTCCAGCAGCRTGACGCCCAACTCGCACACTGAAGAATGAGGCTGGGCTCTCCGCCCTGCCTCTTGATATAGCGGCCTACTTGCCTCCTGGGCGGTGACTTCCA